ATGTCTTTTTTTAATTTTGTGATATTTTCTTCCATGATTCTGTTGAAGATCTGGTCCATGCCATTATCTTGGGATTCTTCTCCTTCCTGTATGCCTATGATTCGTAAGGTTGGTCTTTTTATGGTGTCACACAATTCCTGCATATTCCATTCTTGTGATTTCTTAAATTTTTCATAATCTTTCAGTGTTCTAGTTCACCCACTTTATCTTCCAGTCTCGATACTCTTGTTTTCCATTTCGTTCATCCTATTGGTCAGGCTTTCTCCTGTCGTTTCTAATTGGCTTACTGAGTGTTTCACTTCCTTCTTCATTTCAGCCTGAGCATTATTCAATATTTCTAACTCTTTTCTGAGTTCATTCAGAAGTTTATCGCTATCTTCCTTCAGTTCTTCGATTTTTTTTGTGTGTGTTCTTTAAATTCATTGAATTCTTTATCATGTTTATAATTGTTCTTTTGAGTTCCATGTCCTACATTATCTCTAGGGGGTTCTCATTGTACTCTGCTAGAGGACTATTGGTATTTGGTGGGGATATGTTATTTTGGTTTTTTATGTTATTATTTTTTCTCTGTGATTTTGACATGTGAATTTCTTTTGTAGTTTCTGACTCTTGTGTGATTCTCGGGCCTTCAAGTTTAGGGGACTGCTTTTGTCTTCAGCATTTCCCACAGAGGCCCAATTCAGGTGAGTGTCAGATGTTTTCAGCCTTTCTCCTAAGGTCTGGATCCCTCCAGGATAGATTTTGGCCTCAGGAATTTGGGGGTTGGATTGGCCTGAGAGCCTGGCCCAGGAAAGATGTTGGTCTAGGGCAGCTGGTGCAGAGATGCAAAGGCAGATGGGGCAGGAAGAGGCCCCAAGGACTCCTGGGGACTGCTCTGAGGAGCTGGGTTGGTCTGGATGCAAAGGATCAGGAAGAGGAAAGGTCAGCCCCTGCATCCCAGAAAGAGTCTGGAGGGTGGTGCAGGCCCAGGGAAGCAGAGGAAGGTGAGGGCGGGGCCAGGCCCAGAAGCAGTGCTCCTGGGGAGGAGAGAAGGCACTCTGTTGGTCTGGATGAAAAGGATCAGGAAGTAGTATTGGTTCCCCAGGTGTCTGGGGGCCCGAAGAGAAGGAATGGGACAGGACCCAATGTAGGAGAGATTGGAGGGGGAGATGGGAGGGTGAATGGGGCTGGCGGGGTTAAGGCCTGGAGGGTGCGATCGACTTACCCCGGAGAGAAGCCTGCGGGTGGAGATCTTTTTTAAAGTTTAAAACCTCATTTAATTTTATGTCTTACAGGGTTTATACTGTGTAGAATATTGTATAACTGTATTAATTCAACTGTAAACTTAAAAATTAAAAAAAATTCAGTGTAGTGTTTGCATAGTACCTACACACATCCTCCCATACATTTTAAATCACCCCTAGATTACTTATAATACCTCATACAATGTAAACGATATATAAATAATTGTTGCATTGTGTTGCCTAGGGAATAAAGGCAAAAAAAAAGTTTACACACATTCAAATTTTTGTGACTATTTTCCTTCCAAGGTTGGTTGAATCTACTAGCAGGGAGCCCATCGATATGGAGGACCAATTGAATATTAACACATTACATTTTATATCTAATATATATATAGTTTTTATTTTTCAATTATATATGCCTCAATAAAATTGTAAAATACAATTTAAAAATAATGTAAAACTATCAGGGTATGAGGAACATTGTGTTTAGAACCAAGGGGACATGTTAGCTGTGTCAGTCACAGAAAATATTTTATCATCACAGTTTAGCTTAGCTTGTGTGAAAATAAAATGGAAAGATTGATCAGGAGGTTTCAGAGTCTCATAAAAGAAACATAGGAAGAAGTTCAGAGGGTTTCAAATCAAACATTTCAATGATTAAACTGGAAATGACAATACAAGCCAGGTATAGTGATGCACACCTTTGAGGCCAGACTGGTCTACATAGTGAATTCCAGGACAGCCAGGGTTACATAATGAGATCCCGTGTCTAAAACAACAACAAAACAGCACAACAGCAATAACAACAACCAAAAAACAAACAAACATACAAACAAACAAAAAAACAAAAAAACCCCACAAAAACTAAATAAAATGGCAATGTAATGACTCAGAATTAAGAGGTGTTTTGCCTGGATGCCAGTGGTATCATTGGTAAATTCAGTTCCTGGCACCCATGTTGGGAAGCTCACAACCACCTGTAACTCCAGGAACTGAACTTAGGGCCTCTGCAAGAGCAGTATGCAATCTTAACTGCTGAGCCATCTCTTTAACCTCAAGGTGATATTTCTTGGTCTAGGAACAAGTGTGTGGGGTGGGACACCTATGACTAAATTAGAGGAAAGCAGACAAAGGGCAGACCAGGCGTGGCATCCCTCAAGCTTGCAACAGTAGTCCAGCCCCTTCCAAACCGCTGGAAGACTCAGGGTTGTACTGGTCATCAGTCTTGAGACACTATCTATATGGAGAGAGGAAAGCACTGGGGGGCTTGTCCACTTACTCTTTCATAGCCATAATTCATACTGTTTTGCACCCTTGGGTGGCTTGGAAGTAAGTCAAACCCAAAGTAGTGTAGACAGAGCCTGAGGGTCTCCAACTCCAGTGTCCTCTTCTGGTCCCTGCAGGTACCTGCACTCACATGTACATATTAACCTCATCCCCTAACTTAAAATAAATCTTAAAAAATAAAGAAATATTACCTGTAGGGGTTTGGAGAATAGCTCGGTGAGAGAACACATGCTTAACATGCACAAGGGCCTGGTTTTGAGCCTCAGCACTGAAAAAAAAATTATGTGTGAATGAATACACAATCACGGAAGGCTGAGTGCATGCTGTCTTGGACGCAGAAAGAGTTTTGAATTCATTCAAAAGTATTTTGTTTCAAGGTCTGAAAGAATCTAATATTAGTATTGTGGAATAACAAATTAATGCAAAATCAATCACAGGCACAGACCTATAGTCTCAAGTTCAAGGTCAGCCTTGGCAATTTAGGGAGACCCTGCCCTGAAATAAAGAAGTGAAGAAAGGTCTAGGGCTATAGCTCAGTGTCAGGCCACTTGTCCAGCATGTGTGAAGTTCCAGGCCCCAGTACTGAAAAAGATAAAACTCATTATTATGGACTCTGCCAGATGCATCCAATATCTGTCCTCATTAAATTTTCCCAAAGCTACAATGATAATGCCCTCCAGTGCATGCAGAGTATTATAATTACCGGGAGTAATTAAAGAGGCTCACATTGTGTCAATTGCAGTCTGCCCCTACAACATGATCAGGACGTTGCGAAGGAGAAAGAAGAGGCTGAGTGGCAAGTACAGTTGGTCTTTCTCAGCCCCCACCTGTCGAGAACACTGTCCTATGAAATGACAATTTTCAGGCAGTTCTGTGTTTTCACAGGTTGGGCATCTGAGGATTCAACCAACTGAATCAAAATATTTGAAGAAACAAATTGTATCTGTACGGAACATGTACAGAATATTTTTCTTGTGTTTATCTCCTAACAATACAGCAACGAGTCACACAGGATCCACACTGCTAGGTATTGTGAGTCATTTAAATGTGATTTAATATAGGAGGATGTGTAGGAACTATGCAAGTATGATGTCATTTTATTCAAACATCATGGGATTTTGGTACCAGTGGGATTTTAACATTGTGAAACTTCGGTATTAGAGGGGGAGCCTGGAATGCATCTCCCATGGATACTAAGGGGGGGGGGAGGTATTTCCATCATTTGAAGTCTGAACTTAAAAGATTTAGAAGCTTGCTCTCACCCAAGATTATTTAATTAGTACATGGCAGAGTTAGAATTTAAACTGCTGCTCTTGGTTTCCACTACTGCACATTGCCATATACCTTCTCATGACCTGGAACTTAAAGTAAATTGGGTTTATCTTTAACTTTACTGTTGACTTACCTGGTCACCCATGACGATTCATTTCTTCCCAGTCTCTTGAGTGTTTCTCTGTCATCTGAAGGATGCCCCTGCAACTGGCCACTTTCTTACTGTAGTGGGAGGGCTTAAAAGGATGGATGGCTCAGGGTGCCCTCCAGGTATGAGGATTCAAGGTTACATTTAATACAGACTGCTCTTGCTGCCCTGAAAACATTATGATTGATTAGTTGTGAGTATTTTTTTGGGAGGGAACTACTTAAAGATTGAACATTTTGTTTTCACTGAGAGGTTTGGCATATGAGCCAAACCTGAACCAGATGATCAGTGCCAGTTTTTCATGCATGGCCTGCACGAACATCACAAGAAATGAGGGCTCAAGTGAGGCTTGGAGGCCTTGAGGGGCTGGAGAGATGTCTCAGTGATTAAGAGCACTTGCTGCTTTTCCAAAGGACCCAGGTTCAGTTCTCAGCCCCTCCATCCATGACTCACAGCCACCTGTAAGTCTAGTTCCAGGAGATCCAATGCCCTCTTTTGGCCCCTATGGGTACTGCATGAACATGGTGCATATACATGCACTCAGGTACACACATGTGTAAAATAAATAAAATAAATGAATAAATTTTCAAAATATGGCCTTGACTGTTCAGTTTTTTGTTTGTTTTTTGTAAACCATTCACACAGAGAATTTTACCACCTTGCCTAGCTATTCTGAAATGTACAGTGCAGGGGAATTAGGGACACTCATGTTGTGCAAGTACTGCCACATCTATCTAGAAGTTTGGCATCATCAAACTGAAACTCTTACCTCATCAAACACCAGTTTCTCCTTCCCTTTCCCCAGCCCTGTCAACCCCATTCTTTCTGTCTTTATGAATCTGAGTACCCTAGGTACTACACATAAGTGACCTAGTAGATCCTTTTGTGACTGACTTGTTTCACTCAGTATCATGTTCTTAAAGTTCATCCATGTAGCATACAATGGGGCTTCATTTTTTTCAAAAAACATACTAATATTTCATTATATGTATGTACCATATTTTCGGACCCTTCCATCTGTTAGTGTGCACATGGGTTGCCTCCACCTAGTACAAAAAAATTTTATGTGTTTGCCTGCATGTATGTATGTGCACCATGTGTGTGCAGGTGCCTACAGAAGACAGAAAAGGGAATCATATCCTCTGGAACTGGAGTTACAGATAGTTGTAAGCTGCCATGTGGATGTTGGGAACTGAACTCAGGTCCTCTGCGAGAGCAACCAGTGCTAACCACTGAACAATCCCTCCAGTCCCCTGCTTCCATTTGTTGGCTCTTGTGCATGATATTGCCATGAACACAGGTTTATAAGCATCTGCTCAGGTAACCACTTTCAACTTTGTCACCCGAGAATTCATACTCTTTCTAGTCTCCAGGGTAGCATTTAAAAAATTTAACTTATTACTTTCATTTTATGTCTATGAGTATATTTCCTGCATGTATGTAAGTGCACCTGTGTCATTCAGTGCCCACAGAGGTCAGAAGAAGACATCAGGATCCCCTGGAACTGGAGTTATAGAGGGTTGTTAGCCACTATATGAGTGCTGGGAACTGAACCCAGGACTTCTGCAAGAGTAGCCACCAGTGCTCTTAGCTGCTGAGCCATTTCTCCAGCCCCAGGACAGTATTTTGGTGTCCTGTTTTTAATACTGTCTTGTAAAGCAAAGCAAAGTGACTGGAAAATGCTCCTGACAGTAAGCTTGTAGGAAAAGCAACTTTGCTTTCTGCTGTTAATTGTGTTTTCGAATCTCTTCTTGCATTCCATCTAGGCACGTTGAACAGTTGGTCTTTCTGGTGATAGACAGGTGTTTTTCTGGGAGGTTGTGCAGAGCACAGAGACCCTCAGGCTCCATCACAGGGCTCCTACCATCTCTTTTGTGCCTTTGAAACACCCCATACATGTTTCCTTGAGCCTTGCACCTACCCTACCCCATCACTCTCTGCCACTTCTTTCCCTATATTTCAAATTGAGCTTTCAAAGCCCTGACTAGCTGCTTGGTTAAGAAGCCATTTAGTAATTGAAAATAAAGCTACCCAACCCTCCAAGAAAAAGTCCAGTTTTAATAACTCACTCAAAAAAGTTTGGCTTTGTTCAGGCCTTACCCATGATGCGCACAACGTTGAGGAGCCATCCTACCCAGGGATCTTTCAGCAGTTCAGGTTCGTGGAGGTAAACTCACTCAGTTTGGTGGGGGTGGTCCTGTCTGTTTCATCATGGAAGTTTATTCTGTGTCTCAGGAGCCCTCAGAAATCTGTTCCCCAGATGGAAGTCTCTACAAAAGGCTCCTTTTTGTGTGCAATTCTCACATTTTTCTTCAATTTAATTAAATGAATAATAAAATAGATCAAGTAAGTTGTAATCCTCCCCATTTTCTTTCTTTTGTAACAAGCACTGCTGTGAATCTGACCACTTAGTTTATGATTAGCCAAGTGGGAGGCAGGTTAATGGGTGATTCCTCAGGAAGGGAAATTAAGGGTGAGCTGAAGGCCACCCAAAGCAAGATGTCACCAGGTCTCAGCATGATTTTTTATTTCTTTCTTTAAAAGGCTTTCATTCTCTAAGTTTGAGTTTATCAGGTGAGTTCATAGGTACCTAAGATTTAATTGCTCTTTAGAGAGGAGATTTAGGGGCAGGTAGACCCTGAGCCTTCACTATGACCTTTGCCTGAAGGTGCCCTTTGGACTGAAGCTTGAGACCTAGTACTGGGCACATATCTGACTTCCTCTCTGGAGGCAGGAGAGGGAATATGGGGAGGCACTGCTGGTGTGGCTAGGGTGCTGACTTGGTGCAGTGGTGCCATGCTGGCCTGCCTGCTTGAGTCCACCCTGCAACCTAGGCGAGGCTTTTGTTCCCTCTCTTTCCCTACAGGGGCCTCAGTGCTGGGCTTCACCTCTCCCTCATGCTGCTGATTTTCATTATGGCTACAAAAGGCATTCAGGCTTCTTTCTATCTGGTGTGCAATTCTCCCATCCTTTTATACTCTTTTACAAGCGTGTCACAGGTTGAGTGAAACAATTTTGGTTTCGCTCATCCAGGGCCTATCATCTTGTAATTGCACACAATTCCTCCTGTTTTCCTGTTTTATAGAAACATAAATTGTGGGGGCTGAGGAGATGACTCAGTGGATAAAGAGAATTCAGATCCCCAGTACCCACATAAAGAGCTGAACAGGCCAGAGTGGTGGCCTGCCTGTAATTTCAGCATTCCAGAGTCAGAGTCAGGGGATCTCCTGGACAAGCTTGGTAAACTGGAGAGCTCCAGGTTCAGCAAGAGACCTTGCTTCAATAAATAAAGTGGAGAATAAATAAGACCCCTGACTTCAACTTCTGGCTTACACACATCACACCACACACACACACACACACACACACACACACACACACACATACATACACACACACGTATAGGTGTGACCCCACACATGCAAACATACATACACACACAAAACCACAAATTGTGTGTGCGGTGGTTTTATATTAAGGAGCAGGAGTTCCAGCTCAGCAGTCCCCCCTTATCAATAATTTTCTTCTCCACGGTTTCAGTTCCCCATGGTCAACAGGCATCTTGGTGACTGGATGCGCCACCTTCTGACATCAGCACAAGGTCCAGGGTGGCATAATCCTGTGCCACAACATCTGTAGCCTTCTCCATCACATGAAGAAAAGCAAATATAGTATATAAGATGTTTTGGGAGCAAAAAAAAGCTAAGAGATCACATTCATTATATTGCTCAAAAAATTTTTTTTTCCTTTACCACAAGCCACTTATAATGAAATTCAAAAGGTTTTTATATATTACAAGTAACTGGCAGTCACATGGGGTTTGGCAGTTAAATACAAAGATTTAGGGTACAATTAGACAAGAAACAGTATATATAGCTTTTTAGTTGGCGCCAGCCAATTTTTTTTACCAGTTAATTATTTATTTAATGACCACATACTTAGAAGAAGCATTTCATTACAACAGCATTGCCATATTCAATAACAAATTTTCTGAGCTAAGGTGCATCTTTTTCAAAATTGGCTGTAAATTTTTAGGTTTACAGTTGAATTATTACAGTTATACAATATTGTACTCAGTATAAACCCTATAAGACACAAAATTAAATGAAGCTTTAAACTTTAAAAACGAACTCCATTTCATTATTAAAATACACAATTTCATACAGAAAAATTCATTTTCAATGCGATTGATATTAAGATGCTTGCACATGCGTTTCTAATCTCTATCTGAGTATAACTAGTGACAGTCAGTTACTTTCTGAGCTCCTTGGCATTGGAGCATGGATGTAAAGTCGTCAGGTAGATTTCAATGGTAATGTTTTTCACATCTACTAATTCTTCTTATTTTTTTATCATTTTAAAAAATTTTTAGTAACTATGATTAGAAGAAGCATTTCACTACATATTTAACATATTCAATAACACACTCCAGAGCAAGAGTACATCTCTTTCATAAGTGGGTACAAGTTTCTAGGTTCACAGTTGAGTTAATACAGTTATACAATATTGAACTCAGTATAAGCCCTGTAAGACATAAAACTGAATGAGTTTTTTAACCTTTAAAAAAGATCTCCATTTCATTTTAGAATATGTTGTTCCTTGCAGAAAGACTCATTGTTTCTGCTACTAACACTGAGATGTTGGCACATGATTCTCTAATCTGTATGTATCTGATTATTACTAGTCATAATCGGTTGCACTTGGATCCTTGGCGCCTATATGTTTATGAAGTCATCGGGTAAATTTCAATGGTAATGTTTATCACCTCTACTAATTAGCATGATGTAAATTTTCATGATTCCTCCTCAAATATAATACATTTAAAAAAATTAGTTGATTTTTTTAATGTGTGTGTATATCACACATAGCATCCCAAACCATCTTATTCGACTATATACCCACTTCCTAGATGGCACCCTCCCATAGCCTCCCTCCCCCCACTAGAGCCCTTATACTCTGATATCCCTGCTACTGTCTGCTGTGTTGTTGG